GGTGCAGGGGCCGGCTCTCGGCCCCGCGCAAGGCGCAGAGCTCACGGACCCGACTTCTGCTCCTGCTCCCAACGACCGCCCTCCTGCCCGAGGCTCCGTGCCTCTGCACCTCCCGCCCGCCTCTCGGAAGCGCTGGGAAAATGAAATCATTAACGCTCTTCACCATTCTGAAACAATTACACGGGCGTTCACAGAAACGCCAGTGCTATTTAATCCAGGAGCCTCTCAGCGCGGTGCTTTGGTGCTGCAGGGGAAGCTATCACGGACCCAGCCAACTGCGTAGTGCTCTGCACAGGGATGGAAATTGTTTTCTGATCCCTCTCAATCACATTCCACCCTGAAGCATGATATTTGATTGCGCTGACCTCAGCACGCTTAACTGTACGTAATATTGACGGTAAAAGTACTCAGCCCTGCTGAAAATCTGCCCGTCTCAAAAAAGAAACAATCACCAGGCGACACTGCAAAATAAAACACACATCACGATATCCCAGCCTATTCTTTTACACCACATTACTGCTGAAGTACTCGGTGTGACAACCAACAAGGTCTCTGATCCACGTGAAGGGACGTACCGGAGGAGCAGACCTGCGCCGGACCTCCCACCACTGCCCGCTTCGCAGGGGTGGACACAGACGGGCTTCAGTCACCGCGCTACGAAAAGCGAGGCGAAGGGCTCAGCGGGACTCTCTCCCAGCCTCGCAGCGTACATTGCGTGACCCCTCGTACAGGCAGGGATTTCAAGAGCATGAAGCACCACACGCCAAGGTCGACGGGAAGCATCCCACCCACTCAGGAGGGCTTGCTTCAAACCCACAGCGCCGTGCTCAACAGCGGCTGTGCTGTATTTTCAAACAAAACTCGCTATCTTTTGGCTAGAACAGGACCTTCCCACCCCTTAATGGTCATTTAGGGCATGCTGTCCCTCCGGAGGAGTTCGCAGGTCCTCCCAGAGAGGCAACAACAGCTGCCAGTAATAACATTTTCTTAGAAGGCCCAACACATCTTCATCAGCTAACAGCGTATCTCCTTCCAGCGGAGGTCACCGCTGGTAAGCGGTCCCCAGCACCCTTCCTGAGACGCCGGCAAACAGACATCCCCACCCAGCTTACCAGGTCCAGAGACACAACTCCACAACGACCACGGGTCACATGCTGCAACACCAGCACACATCTGGAGCACCGAGTCAGCTTTTGAGGGCAAACAAGAACAGAAAATGGGGACTTTGAGAAAAAGCTAACTATACTCTCTGCTCTTGGCTGGATAATCTTGCAGACACTACTTCTTCCTGCACTAACTGCCCAGCTAAAACAGTCTTTTGATACTATCATGCAGCTTTGGTGCATCTCTTCCCATTAACAACGCAACGCGGTTTGCAGAAGGGTCAACAGCAGCATTCCCACCTTGTCCTGGGCTACCGCCCTCTGCTTCACACTGCATTCCCACTGCAGGGCTACGCTCCCAGACAGGACTCATCTGCATGAGGTTTTGCCTCCTCATCATCACTGTCTAGCAACGCAGCTCCAACCTTCAGGCTCTCTTGCAGCTTTAATCCTGCTACCCTGCCAATACTGTAAAATGGCAGCTGGATTTTTTCCTCTCCAGATCAGATAAAGGTTTGTATCTTTAAAATTTCAAACACTAACAAGCTGTCTTGCACCAAATATCATTTAGGCTCTTCCCAAATATCAATTAACCTTTTTTCACATAGAGAAGATACTGAATTCTCTCTACAGCCTTTGCCAACACAAAAGCTTTAGACTGCCACGCCAACAGTGTGATCTCTAGTTCTTACTCTTTTGAGCTCTTCTCTAATCTCAACGATTAAATTATAGCATCAGAGCTAAATTTCCGCTAAGTAAAAAGGGAGGGGAGCATTCAGACGCAGACTTCTTCCCAAAACACAGCTCATTTAAAGCCACTATGTCACTAACGTAGGACAGCAAGTCCTACCTATTGCAGCAGGACCTTGTCTGAGCCAGAAGCTTGAAACACCACCATCAATATAAAAGGTAACTCGTTGCTGTGAGTTCCCCCAGACCTCAGGGGCTGGCAGACTGCAAGCTGCCACAGACAGGAGCTTTCCTGAAGAGCATTTAGCTGATCTGGGTATGTCAGCTTTCACCATACAATAAGGCAGAATTCCAGTCACCTTGAGGGAGGAAGCATTTTCACACCACAGCAAGGGTTTTTATTCCATGAAACAAATATTGATTAATCAGTGCATTTGACAGAGAGAAAAACATTGCTCTCACAAAAGGCCAGCAACCTAAAATTATCTAAGCGGTGATCCTGAGCTGAGAAATCTGTTCTTTGGGTTGTCTTCTCTAAACGAGCTCTTCCAAGCAGCAGAACATCACTCAGGCTCTAACCACACCACAGAATAGCCTCAAGACCACAAATACCTCTTCAAACAAAAAAAGCTAATCAATGTTGCAACATCTAAAAACAAAAACAGTCTTGGGGGCTCTTTCATAGTAAAGGGGAAGCCACTGTTCCATGAAGTCCATGACAGGGACTTCTGCTGTGGTCCTCCAATGCGTGATATTGTTCCACAAAGTTGGACCTCGGAGGTGAAGCTGGTCCAAGAGACCAGAAAGGTACTGGAAAACTGGTGTCCCTTTTCCCTTAGTGGCAATCATTAAAGCCAGACCTCTTCTGATCTCTGGTCATCTGCATGGTTCTGTATCCTGTTCTAGTTTTAAATATTTACTCCTACAAAACAAGCAAGATAGCACAGCAACACTGAGTCTCACCCAATCACTACAGTGAGCTCTGCTATCTGGGTAACAACCAAAGCAAGAGCCGTATGGATAAAACCCTCGCCCTCGAGAGCTGCAGCCCGAGCGTTCCCAAGAGCAGCAGGATTAGCCGCCACCCAGAGAGCCGCATCCCATCTTTTCTATTTATTTTACAGACAGGCCACTGAGGCTCAGAGGTCAGGAGGGACAGAGCCAAAAACTCAGGGATGCTCACCTAAGGAGCAGCCTCTTCCCCTCTGCCTGACATTGACACAGGCAAGAGACTGTATGCAATTTACAGCCATTCTAACAGCAAATTACCCAGCTTTCCTGCACACTGCCATTGCTACGAGACGGAGCGGTATCTTACAGACCTACTTTGAGAAGGCAGACGCATTACCATGACTGCAACCCCTTGCCACGCATGTGACTGTTCCTCCCAAAGACCTAAGTGAAAAAGGAAAGCAAAACTTTTCTTTTTTTCCCCCTTCTCTTCAAAGCTATTCTTCAACTGCGAAGGAAAGAAGAGTGATAGAAGCTAATGCAAATTCTCTTCCGAAGCTGCTGGGCACAGGGAGGCTGCGTAGTTCTCCCAAACTCTCCAGCTCCTGGACTAACGGCCTGCAGCACCAAATGTCTTCATGGAGAACCTCCCCTGAAGGCCAGCCGGGCTTCAGCAGTCAGGCAAGGTCATTGGTGAAGCCAACAGTTTTGTCATTCGGGGAGGCACATGGTTTTAAGGCAGCTCAACAGCACAAGACACATGAGCAAAAGAACCTTGCAGCCGTAGCCTTCTCCCAGTTTCCAGCTCCCTGGTGTCCCAGGCCAGGGGTTCCCAAACAGGGAAACTCGCACCAGTACAGACGCTGCCGCTGCCCTCCGCCGAGCCTGCGCCCACAGAGCTGAATCTGGGGACCCACCTTCTGAAAGGGGCCAGGGCGGCAGCACCAGTTCCCACGTGGGAATTCTAACACCACACGCTTTTATATATCTTCGTTTTTAAAACAAAGGGGAAGATTTAAAACAAAGAGGGTGATTTAACACAAAGGGGATGATTTAAAACAAAGAGGGTGATTTAAACCCTCTCGCTCCCTGCCATGGACAGGACCCTGACAGCTGCCTCCTCGCTGGTGAGGAATGACAAGGCTGGGACAAATGACAAGGCCGTCCATTCCCCAGCCTGCGTGCCAGGGCTGCTGTGCTGGCGATGGTGCCGTTTTTCACATGAACTCTAAAACCAAGCTGCTGACCGCTCAGGGTCATTAAACAAACCCACAGCCCTGTGGCAGCCAGAAACACATCAGCCCTATCGCACGGCCTTGCTCCCAGCCCGGGGACTCGCACCCCAGCCACAGAAACTCCCTCAGCAGCTCCATTTCGATACTCGTCTTCACTTCCCCTCCTAAAACTGTGCTGCAACCGGCGGAGCAGCAGCCAGCCCTTCGCAAAGCCCCGCAGCTGCCTTCCAGAGGCCAGAAATGGGACCCCAGCACGAGTCACCTCGGGCCAGCTCTTCAGAGAGAAGTTTCCGACTCGGGCTCCCGGAGACACGGACAGCCTAAAGCGCATCCGACGACCGCAGGCGCAACGCAGGAGCGCTGGGCGAGGGCTGGCAGCCCTAAGGAGGACCTCGCCGACAGGCACCAACCATCATCACCAGTCGCTGCGTGGGTCACGCCGTTCCCTCGTTTCTGTGCCCTGCCTCGCTGCTACGACACGCAGCAGTAAAACACGCAGAGGTGGGGCACGCAGCACGGTGGTTATTAGTAGGAAATGGCCATCCTTCTGCAGAGCAAGGTTTGCTGGCAGCTCAGCAAAAGCCTCCCGGGATTAAACCAGCCTTCGGGGTTAGCCACCCCCCTGGGTCGTAAGAAAGGGAAGATGGCTTCGCGCCGGTTCTGCCGGGGAGCAGCGCGAGGGACAGGGCTGCGCCGGCCGCTGCGTCCCACCGACGCCGCGGGAGCCAGCAAGCGACTGCTGCCGCTGCCGTGCGCGGTGGCTTGGCAAACAGCTACTGACACAAAGCCAAGCCCGGGCAGGAGAGAATGGAAGGGCTGGAGGGGCAGGGCTTCCCCCCAGCCCCAACGGGCCAGCGGCAGGGAGTAAATCCCGCTCCGGACAGGTGCTGAAACCGCACGCAGAACTTCAGACATCACGCCGTGCAGGGGCTGATCAACGCCTGTTCATTTGGAGCCGCACTCCG